CCCGGGTAGGGGCCCTTTAAGGCCGTCCCCCCACCCCGGAGGTGGCAACGTGACCGCCCTCCCTCAAGTGTGCAAATTCATTCATCCAGGGGCCCCTGCTGACTCACGCTTATGAAAGTGATTTTCCTGGCCCCGCCCACCGCCCGCCTCCTCCCAACTCGTGAAATACCCTCGCTTCCCGGCCTCTCATAGCCTCTTGGATCCCCACGGGGTAATGGGTGTCCTGCTCCCTCGGCCGGCACCGTGAGCCCTGGTTCTCCTAGTGCCTGAGCAGGCCAGGCTCACGAGTGTCTTCGACCCCTGCCCATCAGGTGAGTGGCCCAGGCGAGGCGTGGGGGGGCGGTGGGAGAAGCTAGTCCCTCCCAGGCAGGGCTGGCCACGGGGCCCTGGAGCCACACAGGCTCCCCGGACCAGCATGATTGCCCCCACCCCAGGGTCCTCCCTCGTCCCTCCCGGCCATGCCCATCTCCAGGTGCCTGGCACCCTCAGCTGACAGCTGCCCTGCCCGTTTAGAGTACACTCCAGCCCATGTGATGCTGCTCTGGGCAGGAAAAAGAGGTGTGGCCAGCCCGGGCAGGCTGCCTGGCGCCCCGAGGCCACTGGGTCACACAGGCAGGCTGGGTGCTGCCCTCCGCGACCCCGCCTCTCCTGCTTGCCGGGGACAGAGGTCCCAGGCACCTGCCCTCGGCTCCCGCCGCAGGGTCCCGGGGACCTGGCTTCTCCCAGGAGGGTTGGGGTGCCCAGAATGCGGGGTCCCAGAGGGTCTGGGGAGCCTCGGAGCTCTTGGGGCTCCAGATGGGGGAGGCTCCGGGGGGAGGTGGTGCCACGGCGCTTTCGCCGGGGTTGAGGCGTCACCCTGGCGACTGGCAGCGCCTCCTCAGCGCCCCCCTGCCACTTTCTTGGTGGCACTGTTGTCATGCTGTTTTCCTCAGAGGGCACTCACCCTGCCTCTGACAGGTATCAAGGGGCAGGATTTGGACTCGGGGGCGTGGTCTCCAACAGTCCTGGGAAAGACACCTGCTCCCTCCTGACCCCAGTTTTTCCCTCTGGGCAATGGGATAAGAAAACCCACGGGGAAGGGGGTGGGGGGTTGTCATTAAAGTGAAATGAGCAAAAAGCCACCACAGGTACTCAGTAAATGTAGCCATACAGGTGCCCCAAGTCTTAGAGCGGAGGGTTTCAAGCTTTGATAACCCTAGAAGTTCCAGTGCTGCAAACTCCAAAGAAAGAAAGAAAGAGAAAATAATTGCACCTTGGAAGGTGCACTTACTCCCATTTCTTTTAGGCTTCTTTTCTCTTGTGAACTTGAATGAGTTTTCAATGTTAACTTTTTTCAGTGGACATTTGCCATCTCCAACCAGAGGAACTCCAACAAAACGTTCGCATTAAAAACTGACCGTTGCAGCTCCACAAAACTAAAAAGCATAGCAGAAATGGGAAGTTAAACTTTCACATGAAAGTTGGCAGCATGCGTTCTTCCGAGGTATTGAGAGCTTTGTCTCAGGACTTGGGGCTGTATCGCTGCACAGGAAGTAACCTCTCAGGTCACCCTCTGGGTGGTGACCTCATGTGTGTGGCATCCAGAAGCTTCTGGCAGCGAGCACTGGACTTGGAGTCCAAAAGCTCTGGTGGTAAATGGGGCCCCTTTGCCTCCGGGAAGCGTGAAAAGTGGGCAGTCAGTTCTGATTCCTCATCTGTAAACGGGGGCTTCTGCAAGTACCCTCCTTACTGGCGCTGGGAGGATTCAAAGGGACTGGGATCCTCAGTCCTTTACTGAAGCTTCAGGTAAAGGACTTGGCCGGGGGTGGGCACTCCATGGGCGCTGGGAACAGGTTGGCACCCATTGTGGGGGGCTATGGGGTGTCTAGGTGGTCTGAGCCCTCAGTGAACAAACTAGTTTCATGACCCACTGGCTCTGTGACCACGGGGGCATGGCCTCACCTCCCTGAGCCTCAGTTTTCCGGTCTGTAAAGTGGGCTCCATGAGGATTAAAGGAGCCAATGCAGAACGAGCGTCATGCAAGGACATCACCTGCCTCCCGTTCCTGCTATTCCTGGGGACAGTGAGGACGTGCAGTGCAGGGCCCTGGGGCTCTTTGAAGGAACCAGGAGGAAGAGTTTTGGGAAGCACAGCCCTCCTCCCCGGGGCCACCAGGCACACCCAGCGGCCGGTGGTTAGTGAGAAACTGTGCCCTCCCAGCTGCGAGCACTGGCCACCTGGCCTCCCTCCCACGACACCAGCGCTGGGACAGAGCAGCTGGGTGGGCAGGGATGGATACGCGTGCTACACTCAGCCGGGTAGGAGGGGCCTCTGTCACACACTGTCACACTGTCACTCCAGCTCGGGGGGCACAGAGAAGATTCTGGAACAGGCCATCCCGGGCTCAAACCCAGCTTGGCTTGCGCGAGCTGGGGCAAACTCCTCGCAAACCGTACGGGGCTGTGAGAAGCTCGCTGGGCCTCAGTTTCCCCGTCTGTAACATGAGAGTGATTGCGAGAGTCCTTATAACAACGCAGTTAAATACGGATTAAGTTAGTTAATGCGCATCCAGTGTTTCGAGCATGCCTGGCACCTGGCTAACTCCATGGAAGTATGGAAATGTTGGTCATTCTGTGTCACTGTTGGCAGTGGCAGTGGTGTCACCCCAGAATCCTCTTCCCAGGCAGACAGCCTGGGCCCCCGCAGGGAACCAGGCGTGGAGAGAGCCACGTGGTCCCTGATGGGGAACACGGGGCTCACCAAGACGGGACGAGGAGGCTGTCCCAGCCCAGGCCCCAGCTGAGGTGAGGAAGGCCATTCTTAGGGGACCTGAGGGCACTGGGGAGGGAGTCCTTAAATGTCACACCCCCGTGTGTGACACTGGAGACACCCTTCACCCTCTGAGCTTCCCTTTCCTCACCTGCCAGATGGCGGTGACGCCGCCCACCTCTCAGGGTGCCCGAGAGTCCCAGATGCTATGGCTCAGGTGGAAGCTCCTCTCCTCGCAAACTGTAAAGTGCTGTGCGAAGGTCCATTGTTGTTGCTGTGGGAGTGACACCCAGGTCCTCCCACCAGCCTGTCTGGGCGGCTGTCCCTCGTCCCTCTGCTCGGGACCTGCCCAGCGGTGGACGCTGGTGTTGCTGTCACTGCGCACAGCAGAGGTCATACGCTGGCCTCGGCTGTGTTTCACCAGCCTGTTCAAGATGTTCAAAAATTGTGAATTAGTTGAGTTGCCCACTTTTCCAAATCAGAGAATTCACATTAAAAAAATCCAGATTTCAGCCTTTTCTGGAAGAATCCTGAAGGCCAGCGATGCCGGGCCCCCATCCCTGGCTGCTCTGGGTGGTCTGGGCCCTGTGCCCCCCATTCACCCTTTTACTTGCTACCAGCCCCATGTCTCCCTGGGGACAGGCCAAGCAGCGTGCACGGTGCATTCAGGCAAAGCCTCGGCACCATTAGCCCTGGATTTAAAAGTCGGCTGCGTGATACTGAGCAACTTGTGCGACTTCTCCGAGCCCCAGTTTACCCATCTGTAAGTGGGATAATAGCACCGACAGTGCTTTCTGCATAGCGTCAGTGTGAGGAGGACATGAGAAAAAACACGTCAAATACCTGGGACATAGAAAGTGCTAAGCGCCTGCCTGCTCCTCACATGCTCGTGTGCATGTTGCCCTGTGGTGGTCAGGACAGCAGGGCTGCTGGACAGTGGGTGAGGCCAGGGCCCCCGTTAGCTCGTCTAGGGGGATGTGGAGAAGGTGGGTCTGGACTCTCCTCAGGCACCTGCAGCCCTAAGAACAGGGTTTGGGTCTCGCTGAGTGATTTGGGCTTGTGGCCAGCAGGGGGCGCTGGTGCTCCAGAGACGAGCAGCTTTGCATGCATTTCTCCCCAAACCAAGGGGCTCAGGCTTCTGTGGTTTCTGCATGTCCACCTGTTCTAGCCCAGCCTCTGGAGGAGACAGTGAGCTCTGGTCTCTTCCCTGTGGCCCGTTTTCTCGAGGCAGTTGCTTCACGTACCGTACCTGTGTCCCCCCGCCACTCCAATAACCCCATGGGGTAGAGACGATTATTATTCCCATTTTACAGATGAGGAAACTGAGACCCAGAGAGGTCACCAGTTCAGAAGTGCCTCTCCAGGGCCAAGTCCACTGAAGACCCGAAGGCCGGATTCTGGGGTGAGGGCTGTGGCCGTCACAGAAGTGCTGGGCAGGGCTTGCCCACAGTTGGGCAGAGGGGGGCCTCATGGAAGCTGAATAAGCTTCGAGGACAGTTACTGCCCCTGATGAGATGGGGAGTGTGGAGTGAGGCTCAGAGAGAGGAGGTGACCAGGCTGGGGGAGAGAGCCCTGCATAATTGGACCTGTTGAGAGTATAGCAGGTATGAGAGGGGAGTGTCATCCTGATAAGACTCAGGGAGGACCTTGGACTTGATCCTGAGGGCCACAGGAGGTCACCGTGCAGCTGGGAAGTGACCGCATGACACCCCGGCTCACCGAGGGGCCCCTCCTCCCCTGTGCCCCCAGGTTGCTGCCAGCCCCAAGCCCCCCCGAGAGCCTCAGCCATGAGCAACGGGTGGAAGGACCACCTTGGTGCCAGCAGCTCAGAGCCCCTCCCGGTTGTCATCATCGGTGAGTGCCGCCCAGGGTCGGGGAGGGGCCGCATTGAGCCCCAAGGGTTAGAGGTCAGGAGCGGGCAGGCCCTGGAGCGGTCACTCTGTGCCCAGTGCTGTGCTCAGCAATTTACAAAACATCATCTGAGTAACCCTTCCAAGAACGCTAGAGGCAAGAGCAGGGTGCTCTGCACGGGTTGCGCAGTAAGGGTGGGGCAGGGGGTCGGGGGACTGGTTCTGTACCTGTGCCCGTCCTGTGCTTTCCCTGTGCCTGCGTGCCTGAGTGACGGGGACGCAGCCGAAGCATGTGGACCTGCCGTCAGGTCTGAACAAATGGGGGACAGAGGGCCCCTCCCTCCGGGCAAACATCAGGTCGAACCACATGAAATGGCCATTTTTGTAAGTTAAAAACAGTTGCGCATCGGCGATTTCATAGGGTTTGTCTGAGTATCTGTCTACATATGAGTTAAGGCTGAGAACAGCACAACATAAGACAGGGGAAAGACAGATAAGAATAGGAGTGATGTCATGAGGTTAATTGCCCAAAAAGTGCCTCTGATAAGCAGTGCGATTCATCCAGACCTGGGGGCAGGCGGCCCCACAGGTGGCTTAGCGCCCACCCTGAGCACCCTTGGCCCCCGAGCTCACCCCCCAAAGCACGTAGCCATCTGTGCTGTAATATTTTACACATCCCTCTGACCGACCTGACCCCACTGTCAGTTCTCAGTAATCTCAGGATCTCAGTCATGCCGCTGTGTGACCACAGGCAAGTCAGTTAACCTCTCTGTGCCCCAGCTTCCTCAAGTAGAAAAGGAGGAAAAGTAGCACGTGTCTGGCTCAGTGCGCTCGGGGCTATGGAGGGGCCTGGTACAGCAGCAGCGGCTGTCAGTTCCTTATTATTTTGTTGTTATTAAAATCACTTGACACAAAGCTTGACACATAGTAAGCGCTCAGTAAATGTCAGCAGTTATTTCCACAACTTTATTGTTGTTAAAGTGGTATAGTGCTAATAAATGTTCTGTTTTTATTTTTATGCATGAAGAGCAAATCAATGAACGAGACAGATGGAGACCAAAGCCCTCGGTGGTGGTGGTCTCTTGTGCTCAAAAGCGCTGCCCTCTGACCCCGCCCTCTCTCCCCAGGCAATGGTCCCTCTGGCATCTGCCTGTCCTACCTGCTCTCGGGTTACAACCCCTACGTGAAGCCGGATGTCATCCACCCACACCCGGTGCTTCAGAGGAAGCTCACCGAGGCGCCGGGGGTCTCCATCGTGGACCAGGTGGGCTTGAGCTCCAGGTGGGAGGGACACCCCCATTGCGGGGAAACCCTGCCAGGCACAAATCAAAAGGATGCATTTATGAGACGTAAGACCAAACGTGTGAGAGCCCACAAAATCAGCCACAGAAACTGGGGAAGAGGAACCACAGCTGTCTTTGAAGACTTACAAATACCACACCAGCTTGTCTCACCTCCCCTAGACCAGTGCTTCTAAACCCAGGGATGATTTCCACCCCCACCGGGGACACTTGGCCACCTGGAGACAGTTTCGGTTGTCACGACCAGAGTGGTGACACCACAGGCGTAGAGGGTCGAGGCCAGGGATGCTGTTAAACATCCTTCGATGCACAGGACAGGCCCCACCACAAAGAATTATCCAGCCCAAAGGCCAGTTGTGCCACAGCTGAAAACCCCTGCCCTAGATATTGCAGGTCCACCAGCCCCTGCTCAGGAGGGCTCACCAACCTCCCCTCCACGCCCCTCGCCTTCCGGGAGGCCACTCAGTGTCCGCCCCCCACTTCAGGCAGCATCCATCCTCCTGGGCCCCTCCCAGCGTCAAGCTGATGGGTGAGGAAGTAAGTTGGCATTGGGTCTAGATAGGCATTTTCCAGAATGCCTTCTACAGCAGGGGTTTCTCCCCCGCGGGAGACCCCCGCCCAACCTGGGCCACACAGCAGGAGATGAGCGGCAGGCAAGTGAAGAGAAGCTTCATCTGCCTCTCCCCATTGCTCCCCGTGGCTCACATTACCGCCTAAACCATCCCCCTCCACCCCACCCTTGTCTGTGGAAAAATTCTCTTCCACGAAACCAGTCCCTGGTGCCAAAAATATTGGGGACCACTGTGGTACAGGACAGCCGTCCCTCAGTATAATACGCAGAGAAAAATGTCCCTGCTCCAGTAAATCTGAGAGACACTGGGTTTGGCAAAATTAAATGGGTAAACGACAGCTGCAGGACTTGTCAGAGCCTTTAATTTGCTGATGTGCACTATCTCTTTTTGAGAGGCAGCATTTCCCAAGCTTATCTGACACCCTGATACTAGGGTGGAAAGGCAGGACCAGGTGGCCTTCCTCCAGCGGGCCCTCTGACTTGTGTCCCCCCGCCCAGGACCTGGATTACCTGTCCGAAGGCCTTGAAGGCCGGTGCCAAAGCCCTGTGGCCCTGCTGTTTGATGCCCTCCTGTGCCCAGACACAGACTTCGGGGGCAACGTGGAGTCTGTCCTCACCTGGAAGCACCAGAAGGAGCGAGCCATCCCCCACCTGGTCCTGGGCCGGAACCTACCAGGGGGGGCCTGGCATGTGAGTGGGGCCCAGAAGGGGTGAGGGGACTTGAGCCAAACCTACGTGACGTCTGGGGGAGGGGGAGGGGGA